TGTGGATATCAGAGTGAAAACGCCCTACATTATTTTTTTACTTGCTGTAACTTTACTCAGATAAGACTTAATATGCACTTTTACACTACCGGTTATAACCTGGATACTATTATGAACGGAAACAATGAACTTGCTCACTCTGAGAACCAGAAATTAGTTGAATCCGTCCACGATTTCATCATCAAGACAAAACGTTTCAGCTCCTCACAAATTAATAATTAAATAAACCGGACAATAACCTCATGATTGACCATTACTTTTGTTACAAACGACTTGTTAGACACACACAAGCTGTAACTTTCTATTTATGTTTTTGTATTTGATGTAATATGTACAGATGTCTATATCGATGACGTCACATCCTTCATTTCAATATGTAATATATGTTGTATGTGAGCGGTGTTAACATAAGCTGTAAAGCTTGTTCACCAATCCCAACTCATTTCAATGAATAAAAATATGTTTAAACCAATTAAATTGTGTATAAATAAGGACACAAGGTTAATTACTGTAATTGATTATTTGATAAACATATTCACATTTAGTTGCGTGATATGTCACAGAGGTAAAGCTAATTCATAACAACTAATTGTCCCATTTATTTGGCTTCTATCTTTTATATGAAACAAATGCTATAACATGGGGTGATAAACTTCATTGGCAAAAGACGTATCATATAATTGTCCGCATGAACAGTCTACTCTGTTCCAGATATGTTTATTCATTTTGTCAGCATTTAAATCGTTGCATTCCTGGCTCAATGATTCATTTGACGAAATCTTGTTCCCTGTTTTGAATTACCGTCAGATAGTTCCAGACCAATTATAAAATTTCCAGCCCTATGTGTTGCGCATAATTCCGAGATAATTCGAAGTTCATATTCTTGTACGAACACTTATCAAAATTCATTTATACCTAGTACTATTATGTACATATGTATATTAGTTCAAATTATAATTATGAGGCCCTCTATATTCTCGAAACGGTCTTTGTTCTACGACAACCGTAAGTCGGTATGGGAAAACAAAATATTTGTTTAATTGTTCAAAGTTCATAGTCAATGTCATATGATTATAGACAAGGAAGATAAGAAATTAAATATAAAGAGTAGCCACTTTAAATGACAGAAATTCTTTTAGTTAAATTTGCTCATGATTTGGTCTTTTCGTGGTACATAGTGCCAAAATACTCTTAATTATTCACTTTCATGTCATTACTAATCTCACATAAGGTCAAAAGTTGTAAAACTTTTATCATATATGATTATGACATGTTGTATCCAAATATTTCCAAACAATTCCAAACACTTCCAAACAAATCCAAGCTTGGAAATATGACCTTGCCAAATAATAGAATGGTCATATTTCCAATTGGAATGGTGGTATTTCCAAGTTTTGGATTTTTTGGAATGGATGATATTTTGTCCAGTGTTGGCATATCTGACCTTTCGGTCTCGATCTCGGATTGCGTCGGCTGAGCATTAAAAGACACTTACAGCTGCACATGTAATCCCTAGTGTCACCACATGAATATTTATTTTCCAAAACAAATATTATTCTGAAAGAGATTTCCAAAACACAATTTTATAGCTTTCAATAAAGAGATATTAGATCATTATTGGCACATGAACACCAGCAGTTGCACAGACAGGCACAAACTAGCGGGTTTTGAGACCGGTTGTTGTTTACAGAGCTCCGGTAAGCAGTGAAAATTACAAAGTTTAAATGGTAAAGTTGAAGACTGACGAGACATTTCCTGTGTTGTAAACCTCTGAAGCATACAATGGCGTGTCAGAGCTCGAATCGGTCGTTTTAATGCAATTTTAATGTCGTTCATGCTGAAGCGTGCAAATGGACCCGCATGCACGTGCTGCATGTGCTGCACGTGCCGGGATGGACTGGGACCGGTCTGAAGCTTTGTTTGTTCACATCGTTCCTGATGATACTTGTGAGTAACGACGTACAGAAAAACCCGGGCCCACGTCAACGCTACTTTTGCCATACATGATACGCAGAGATTGCTTTGATCTTGCATATAAGAGACAGAAAAAGTTGTACTGTCTAAATATTTGTTGGTGACAAGAGGTTTTACTGTGTTGGCGCTGAATTGCTGTGAAAGTAAGGATATAGTAAAGACATATCAATGTTTCAAAAGGGCTACTGTGAATCACTGAATGCTTCGAGATAGGCGTGTCGCGGTGAACTCCGTAACTTACGTCCTGTCCGAAATCGGGGCTCGAAAATACAACACAGCACATTCTTCAACGAGACATAAAGTACATGTTATATATCTCAGGTGTAGACTGTGCGTGAGACATTTTTTACAGATACAATAACAGCCAAGCCAGGGATGTGTCCTTCAGACGTCAACTAGTTTTGCCGAAGATAGGGTCATCACGTGATCACACAAGCTCCTCCTAGTGTACACTAAAGACCACTGTAGGTTTAAGGGCACAACAAACGTCCTTATTTCGTTGAAAGTTAAGGCTCGGTTAATTTATATATAAGAAATATATATTATTGTGTAACCGAGGCGCACGTTCCCGGAATTCAAACATGTATTAGGCGGTTAAAATATTCTTAGAATGTCTGTGTGTACGTTTTTACGTGTGACCGCGTGCTTGTGCGTGTGCGTTCGCGTGTGCGTTCGCGTGTGCGTGTGACTGTGCGTATGTGAACTCTTTTGTTGTGAAGATTACATGATGTCATAGGGGTATATACACAAAACTTGAGTCCAATTGAGCGAATTGTTTCGCTGTGACAAATTAATAAATAGACTGTGACCTTTTTCGAAAGTACTAGAAAAAAGGAAAAGAACTTAACACCCCCCAAATACCAGGGTAAGATGCCCCTTCCTATGTCACCGTAAAGGGCAGTAGAGTTTAAGCGTGGCAGGGGGGGGGGGGGGGAGGTGTGTCACGTCAACAACAACAGAAAAGATTAGGGAATCCTCGGTATGTTGATGGTTGACCAACGAATGACTGAGCGTCGTATATTGCTTGTTCAGCAAGCATTACCCAGGAGAGGGTATATTCCATTATTACAGAAACTTTGGCAATGAAGAACATATCGACTCGTTCCAGTGCTTCTGACATCTGATAAAAAATGCACCAGGCGCAACATGTCTCATGTTAATATGACCCTGTTTGAAGCTCATCCAGAAAGGTTCTTGCAATGTGCATATGTGACTATGGATGAAACCTAGGTTCAACAACAACAATAAAACAGTGGAAGCATTTGACATTACCACCAAAGAAAGCAAAGACTGTCCTATCAGCTGGAAACGTCATGACCTTCTCGTTCTCTGCCGAGGGTGTCATCATGGTGGACAATCTTCCAAAAGCTGAGACAATAAACGGAGCATATCATGCAGCCCGTTTGAGGCAATTACATGATGAAATTAAGAGAGACAGAAAATGTATTTAGGAGCAGGCCACCAGCCAATAATACATTAATATAACATGATAAAGTATATATATAACAATTTCTTTCTTTACAAAATAGGTATTTAGGTATTTCTATCATGTAGGACAAGTTTATCATCTGTTTGCAGTAGCTGTATGAATTTCATAAGAAATGGATGTCCTCGTCATCCTGGAAGCGTCTTCCAGGTAGGGCAGATTTGTCTGGGCTGTACAATTAATTCACCCACCCTACAGCCCAGACTTAGCCCCCAGTGACTTTTTCCTGTTCCGGCAAATGAAATCTGCCCTACGTGGAAGACCCTTCCAGGATGACGAGGACATAAAGGCTGTCACAGAGGCGTGGTTAGAGGGCCAATCTGCGGATTTCTATAAAAGTGGTATTAAAAGCTTGATGGACAAATGGAATAAGTGTATTGAGGTGTATGGAGATTATATTGAAAGTGCATAAGATATTCTGCGACTTGGTCACTATATTGAAGTTGCAAAACTTATTGAACGCCCCTCGTACTTTATAGAGGCATGTCGTTCACATACAATCACAACATGGTATTTTGTCTTCAATATATTTATGGTGTTTTCAGAAACAGTATTTGCAGACTCGTTCATAATGAGGAATATAACTGTCTTGCAAATTTAACATCAAACGGAAATTGTTGCATCTAAACTTTGAGATATACACCTTAAATGTAATGTGGAATGTACATTGAAAGATGCGTGTCTTGATATAAAGAATAATGTGATATCGCCGGAACAAAATGTTTTTTCATTGATGTAGCCCATGTCACTCTGTCCACATTATCAAGTGATTTAAACAAGAAGGTTTGACGACATAAGATGTGAGAGTGAAAATGAAGAGGTCTGCATCAATATTTAACTGTTCTTGTAATATAGATAGACTGAAGAGGCTTTTTTTCTCAGAGAGGCGAAGAAACAGTGTCCCCCAAACTTCTGTTCCGTAACACAAGATCGAAACGGTTACAGTCAAATATTTAAAAAAGACGTCTTGGAATGATTTGTTTCGGTGCTATTCGACATTCCACCTCATGGAAATAAAATTTGGTTTTATCTACATAAATTTTCATTCCATTGGATTCACAGACATTTTCAAGAACGTTGATTTGCTTTTGTAGCTGTTAAGAACTGGACCTGGTTGTATCAAAGCCTCAGTAACTAATGGCTGCATTAAACCATATATCCAGTGATTCACATCATGAGCATCGACCCACGCAATTGGGATACGATGACATGCATCAACCAAGTCAACCAGCCTGACCACCCTCTGCACAGTACATTGCTTTAGACAACAGCACACACATCGCCTATATAATTTGGAATATACTGTGTGGTTTTGTGTATCTCCGGATCTTGATGAACACCTAATATTGTTCACAGTTTTCATGTAACAGTAATGGTAATACAAATATACAGACAGCGTCTATCAGCGCAGGACACAAACATGTAACTTGATATTGCACGATGAGGAAAAACTGGCTCCATACTATATCCAGCTGAATTCATTTGAACAAAAGATAACCAGATAAACCAATGCAATATTTTCCTACTTCTGAGATAACGAAGAGGCCATATTTTCCTCATAAGTCCTGTATTTTAAAGCTTCTCATTATAGCATACTTCTCAGCACACAGTTGGGGATTACAGAAATGATCTGAGGTGAGACACTTACCATTCCGACGTTGCACATATTACACTGTGAATTTTCCCCCACGTTGTACTACGTTTGTTTGTTGTTTAACGCCGCACTCAGCTATATACCTGCTATATGACGGCGGTCTGAAAATAATCCAGCCTGGACTAGACAATCCAGTGACTGTCATCTGACCGTCCGATCCCGTTTGTCGCCTCTTATGACAAGCTGGGATGCGGAAGACCAATAATTCTAACCTGGAACCTCACGGGTTTGTCATGTAAGACATCAAGTCATTTTAATCACGAGGAAGTAGAACCGGCGGTAATCACTCAGGGTCGTGATTGTTTCTATTTGCTGACATTGGTGTTGTGATATTTCAAACTAACGAGCCATAAACAAACAATCATCACATGAGCTTGACTCACAAGTCCGGAGGCAAAACATATGATTTTAGTCTTTTTAAAAATAAAATGTCTTGTTTCATCCATATTAGATAAATTATATAAATTACTAAAATTTATGATTTTCCTGTAGATACCGTTTGTATTGTAACGAGTGTGTTTAAAAATGTATAGAAAAAAGTAAGGATAAGAATTTATGGATGAACAACTTCTTTATTACAATTAAGAGCGACGTTTTGATGTAGGTTCTAATACCGTTATCAAGCAAGTGATTTACAGAGTGTGGTTGGCAAGTATATATACAAGTAGGAGGCAATGTTTATACAGTAGAGGGTCGGTCGGGTAGCCTTGTGGTAAAAGCGTTCGCACGTCACGCCGAAGACCCGGGTTCGATTCCCAACATGGGTACAATGTGTGAAGCCCATTTCTGGTGTCCCCCGCCGTGATATTGCTGGAATATTACTAAAAGCGGCGTTAAACCATACTCACTCACTCACTCACTCACTTATACAGTAGAGTAGATATTGTTATACTGGAGTAGAGAAGCCTGTTATGTACACACAGGGGTAGTGATGACAATCATCGGTGAAGTCAATGACATAAACAAAGGATGAAGCCAGTAATATAAACAACGGGATTATGGCTAATTGGGGTCTTTGATGAGTTGATGGTACGCCGGGGGTATGTAATAGCCTTGGTCACGGTTGATTGACGGCTGGAGTCTGTTGATGTTGATGGCTTCTTGTAGTTTCCTGATCTTGAAGTCTTTGAGGTTGGTGGCGAGGGTTGTGACTCTCTAAATTCTCATCCTTACTCCAACTTCTAAATGCCCATCAAAGAAATGTATAGAAAAAGCTAAAGCGTATGAGATACGTTTTGAAATATACGTTTATGAAAAAAGGACATCTCTTGGGCCCCTTAATGGTCAGGCTCGGCGTCTTGGTTCTTTGCGTGTCATCGTTCTCCAACGGCGTGGATCGTTGCTCATAATATCACTGACTGGTTTGTCTGGTCCAGAATAGATATTTTATAGATCGCCGCCATGTAAAGCCGGAATATTTCTCACTGTGGCGTTATACAAAAGAACCAACAAAAAAATACCCTAAACAAAACAAATACTATTTAATGATATTTTTTCAGGTAAAAATATATATTTACAATTTTTATCGATAAAATCTCTGACACCCTTGGTCATACCTTATTCGAACTATAAAATCAATGGAGGTGAGGAAAATACGTTTATAAGATAACATGACGTCATTAGTGAATGAAAGGGCTATATTTCCCCGTTTTACCATAATCTGTTAATTGATAGCCGCCATCTCGTTAAGCAGGGTACTGGGGTAATTTCTGACCTGGAATCCTTGACGTTCTTTGTGGTGCTCCTTAATTTTGTTTAATATTATTTAATACTTGTTGCATGTCGATTCCTAAATTGAAACAATATGTTTACCAAGGAATTTGTACATAAAAGAACTTGGTGTGAAACCAACAAACAACCAACAAGTGGTATACAATCAACAAATGTATTACAAAAATTCGCCAAGTTTGCAAATCCATACAAATTATTACACAGCAATTACAATGGCAGTACACAATAGAGTGATAGTGCAATATTCAATGGCAACAAATAATATGATGGCAGTGGTCAGTATCAAATACAAAAATATAGTGGTGATAGCAGAAGTCAGTGATAATAATATATATTTACCAAGCGGCGACAGTGGTCAGGCTTCCGAGATGGGCTAGGCAGGAGATCAGGGATGATGAGCGATCCTCACATGAAAGCTGGTTCCGATATGATGAAAATTCGCAAGAGATACGTGAACACGCTATTGTCCCATTATATGCAATCTACTTGACACTAGAACATTAAAGAAATTTCCATAACATCCTATCACAGCCCGCGTTATACCGGACCGGATGTTTACACATCACACTAGCATCTAAATACAGTAACAGATCATACAATGTTTTTTATCATTACAAAATTCTTTGGAATAGGCCCGGTTACAGCCTCAGACGTATCCAGACAACCTGACCATGTCCTCTTTTGACTGACTATTTCGCGAACAGAGACTTTGCTATTTTTATTTTTTACTAGGTAATACTGATGTTGGCTCTCCTGTTTTATCTGAAATAAGTTCTTGATTGAAATGAGACATTTCTATTTCAAACATGAGACTAGATATTCGAAAAGTTTTAAGCCTTTTAATAGTGTTTATGCCCTATTTAAGATAAAAAAAATCCCGCAAAATTACCGCGATTTAAGTTTCGCTATACGTTTCGTATCGTATCGTAAACAAAGTTATGGGGATACGTGTCGTGTCTGGAGACAGTCGTTTAGTGATATCACCTAGTTAATACATCAAACTTTAGATAACCGACGCCCCTATAATCCTTCTTCACTTTCCTATGTTTGCGCATTTGTAATTGTTGTGACTATGTTCAATCCCTGAGATTTATTCTGTAGTCATAGATCATGTTTTGTTAAAATTTTGAAAATGTGAAGTAGTTAACATAAGCGCGACAATGCGACAAAGCGACAACGCGACATTTTGATGAAATGTTTTCTTGTCGTATTGTCGCGCTTTGGTTAATTTTGACATTTGCTTGTATTTGTTAGGCGACAATGCGTAAAAAAGCGGCAATGTCCCTTCCAGGATTCCATACGATAGTATGCGATTTTTATTCTTGTCATTATGTTATATCTCTTCTATTCACCATCGCTCTCAGAAAATAATTCGAAAAACATCCACCACAGAAGCCATTACGATTTAGAATTTAGGCAATCAAATTTGATGTGACGAACTGGCAGTAATCACGAAAAAATACTCTACGCGAGTTACTAATACCCAGCTGGCCCCGTTCCACAAAGCGATCTTAGGGCTAAGTTGATTGTAACTCACTAAGTACGCGATCTCAAATTTTGGTTAAGATCGGCCGCCCGTTCCACAAAGCAATCTTAACTAAGAGAGTTGTAAGTTAAGATCAAAATGCTAAGTTGCTCCGGACCAACTTAGGATCGCTAAAACCGATTTTAAATATTGTACCATAGCAACAAAGATGGCGACTTTTATTATGATGTGCAAGGAAATGGACCGTGTTTACACAAAGAAAGGGTGTTTAGAGGCCGCACCGGCAGCTGGATACGTTATCTGACGATGAACTGTATGCGCGATATCGTATGCCACGCAACGCCCTCTTGGAACTGATAGAAGCTGTCTCTCCGTCCATTACACCAGCAACCCAGCGTTTACATTTGCATGTTGGGGCACGTATGTTGACTTATTATTATATATTATTGTATATTCTGACAGTCCATAGCTCACTTACTTGTTAGCGATGTCCTCCCACATGCTGCCTCTAAACTTTTTGGTGACGGTAGAGCTGAATGAAGAATTCAGTGTCGTGTGGTGAACAGCCACCTCATCAACAAGGACAGCGATCTCGCTTGCTGCTATATTTCTGCGACGAACGCGTTTGACGCCGACAGAGGTCTGCGTTTCGGCCATATTTCGACAATGCGTCGTCTGCTAAACACGACCAAGGGAGGCCACTCAAAGGGAAACTTTCTTATCTTTATGGCTGAAGATTCCGATCTTTGTTTAGATCGGCTACCAAAGAACTTGTAAAGTTACGATCGCCCTAAGATCGCTCTGTGGAAGGGGCGTAAACTTTAGCTAAGACGATTTTAAAATCGACATAAGTCTCTAAGATTGATTGTAGTTAGGATCGCTTTGTGGAACGGGACCCATGTCAATCAATAGTAAACAAGGAAAGGTAATAGACTAGTTAATAAATGTATGTAATTTCTTTTGAATTTTCTGTGGGAAATCTATTCCGGAATTTTCTCGATGTTAGTTTGCCTCTGTGTGCAATTCAGCAGAGAGAAAGCGCCATTGGTTTGCTACAGTTGGTAGTCAGACATGACACAATCGCTAGACACTTTGCTTGCATTCAAATACCAGGCAACCACCTGCTACAACAATCACCAGGTTACCGTCACGATACCTGCAGACAGTAGACACAAGACCATGTGCCACCACACACGGCGTAGATCGTTATTTGCATATTCTTCAGTTGAGGAACCGCTTCTTGACTGTGACGTCATGGCCGAGGGCATGTGGTCAGCCGTTTCACTATATCCAAACTTTGGCACGTTTTGGCATGAGATCGACGTCGTTGGGAAGAGAGCAAGGTTCGTTATTCTGTCAAGGAGACTACCTTTCGGAGGTCGCAGTGTAATGATATAGGCTGTGAATTGTTTTGGAAAAGACGGAACCAATTGTTGTGAAATCTATTCTCACAGCACCACGTTACATCGACGAGATATTGTGGCTAGTGGCACTTTCATCCGGACATCAGAACGAAAGGAACATGTTTCAATTTGATAACTCAAGCCCACATACAGCACGTATATCGTCCATCACGGATTTGTATCAATTCCATTCATATAAAGAGGTTTTAACCTCAACTATATTGAGTTTACTGCAAACTGACTATATACCCCGTGTCGTTGTCCTCGTGGGTCATTTATTTTTACTGCCAATACATTATAATTCATTGCTGTCTGTTTACTCATTACATGATTACAAAAGTTCCATTTGGAACATCTTTTTTGTCTTTTATGTCAAGCCTGATATATTTTTTGGTGATGTTGCTTTGCTCGTCAGTGTAGTTACAGTCTTTTGTCTATCTTTAGTTGGTTTGTAGACAAATAACGTTTATCCAAAAAAGTAAAAACTTACACCATGTTTACAATACAATACAATACAGTACCACCATGTTTACAATACAATACAATACAATACAGTACCACGAATGTGGTCCAAGTCCAAAGAGCAAAGAGACGACCAGAAGAATGCTTCCAAAGTTATCGATGTTAAATGTTATCGTATTGTAGATATTTTAACCGAAATGTTTCACCCCTGGAATATTGGATCTCTTCATAGTGCCCCACATATGAATACACATACATGAAGTTGACTTAAGCTTGTTCTTCATCCAGATTTTCCTGACAGACATGCCATGGAAGGGATCCTGCTGGGAGCGATTGTGGTCTCTGTCACTGTGTCTCTGACAGGTAGAGCAATGATACATGGGCATGCGTTGACTGATTTCGAATGACATTGCAACATTTCTATATTTAACAGTAACATTCCAGACATGTCATTTTACGTCAAGAATAATGTTTATTTAAACAGTCGTCTTTATGAACGTGTTCGCCTGTATACCACAAGCATTGAACGAGATCTTTGGCAACAATAAATATAAAGCCACAAAGATAAGGTTCACAAGAAATATAACTGACACAAAGTTCAATTCTCCAACAGCCTCAGAGTGTCACTGTAACACCACAAGCGCCTGCACCGTATTCCCCTCCGCTCCTTGTAGCCAGGTTGGCAGTCCAGACAGATGCCATGAAGGATGGTTTGGTCCGTACTGTCAGAAACGTGAGTGGGTTATATTTTACAGGTTTACAGTTTTCAGATTTACATACTATGATGGTTAGACTTTTAAAGGAAACTCGACCCCTCTCTTTTGATGCAGGATATACTGCTGACATGAAGGAAACAACGAAATGTTACGTCCTCAAAAAACGATGTAAATAAAACTTTACAGGAGGGCTAGATATATAGAATTTCATTCGAGAGTGTTTTGTTTTCAAATATATCAACAGGTTTGAAAGCTCGAGGCATGAATTGGCAATTAAAATAATAAGTTTCAGCTGTAATTAATATACCCCAAAACACGTTCACATTTGTCAGTACAATGCCAAATATATACTAAAAGCGAAAACCCATTTCCGTACTCATAAGAGTACGATTCTGACTATATCACGAGCATGTATTTATGAATAACATCCAATAGTGATGATACCATGATACCGAAAAGGTGAGCATATCCTGTCCCATCGGTGCCACCCATCACAACACATGGAAAGGCATGTCAATTGCTCACCTGACAAAAAACGTGAATATATGGTACAAGTCAAAATAGGGAATTGAATCGGACATCACCTTTGTCACTGATGCATCAAATTTGACAATGTCCTCCACATGTCTACCATGAAACCTTTTGAGAGGCTTACTGAGGCCTTGAATGTTTAACCTTGATCAAGCAACTTCTGAGCAAGGGTCGTATGACGCTCTCTGAAATCTCGTTGGAAAGAGCATGATCGACTGCACCACAAATGTGAAGTTTAAACACCAAAGGATGGAGCTGCTGGAGTATTGCTCGACATTAAATGACACCACGGAAAGCTGAAATCATCCCTCTCGTCATACAGTCTTGTGGAGAGTGTTTTGTCACTCTGAATCCTTATGCATAGATCTAAATATGAAACAGTTGAGACGGTCTCACTGTTCTCTTTTGTTTCGAGTTCAGGTGGGTAAATCATTTCAAGGGAATTGGCTATTTCATATCAGATCATCAATATACCTGTAGCTTAAATTAAACTTCTTGGCCAAATGGACTTTGCCAATCCGAGTAGACATTCCGATTCATATGCAAAAAGTAGATCCGCAAGAAGGGGAGCACAATTTGTGCCCACTGGGATGCCTACTTCATGCCTTACTGCCTAACCCAAATTGTTTTCATAGATGTTCAGCATTTCACATATTGTTTTCTCAGTAATGATTAATCTTTGAGACAGTGATTTGGTGGTACATGTGCAGCTACATTTAATAGTAATACATGTAGAATTTGTTCAGAATCAGGGACCAGACAAAACAGCTTCAGCACATTAAGTATATGTGCAGAGATAAGTTATTGATCGTCTGTGTCGCCTGTGGAATCTTGACATATTTAATGGTTACCTTTACTTTTAGTAAAGCTTCATTTTAACACCCCTTTTATGTCTCGTATAATTGTCTCTTTTAAGTATATTTTTTGAATAGTCGCCAGATATGAAATATTGTAATAACGTTTGGTGATAATTAAATTTTTCATTCATACAGTCTAACCATTTGTAAAATAGATTCATATATTACGTCAGATTTAAACGAAGAGTATATATTACCCACGCGTATATATTGGCCCTAAACAGTGACTGCGGAATATCTGGATTTATATTCTTGTTATCTTAAATCTCCAGACCAGGAAAATAGGCAAGTTTAGGCTCTATTCAACATTTGAAATCACCATTACTTTCATAGAATGAATATTAAAAAGACATTACACTGAAGAGTTCATAGATTTAGTGAGCAAAGTTTAGTGGCTAAACATAACCTAACTGACATACTCCCTGTGAACATTTAATATGAAAACTAAATAAAATACTAGTATTAATGACGTGGGAAACATCAGGCAAGGTGTATTTTCATCGTCTTAAATTAAGCTTTTGTTATCTTACCAACTCCATTGCCAAATGGAGTCAAATGTGATCACAATATTTAATATTTAAGTTAATTAGGTGTGAATAAATATTGTTTTGAAACTGGTGGCTGTTTCAACTTCTTAGAAATATGTATAACCTATCAGTACATATAAAAATGGATATTAAACTGCATTAAGTTTGGAAAACCAAACAGATCGTCCGACATAAAACTCAATGGAAAATCTTGTTGTCAGTTGAGCTTTCAGCTGAAGGTAAACAAAAACACCTGAGTGGATCTGAATCCCTCATCATGCAAGGCCATACAAGGTATCAACTACAATTCATACAAAATAATTCTGTAATTTATGTGCTTTGCAATGTCCAGATGACGATATCTATTTTTCACGATTGTTTAAATGATCACATATTATATCCTGTATTATTTTATCACAGTGCCCCAATCCCTAGCACATTCTGACTGGTTTGTCGTATTTTCGCACAAAACATTGATGACATAACAGAATGGGGCCAATGGTGGCGAATGTCGTCTTTAGACTTCATTGGCTTTCCTCTATGGTTCTCCTCCGATTGCTTAGAAATGTGTAACGCTCTTTTTCACAGAAAATGTGGCTTTGGGTAGACCTTCCACCCAGAGTTCCACATACATTGAAAATACAGAGAAGACAAGTAATCTAAACCATGCATTCCAAGCACACTATGGAGTAGATGGCAGAGCTACCACATCCTTCTATAGTACACCACTGACGTGTACACATACAGCCGCTGGAGATCAACACCATACTTGGACTGTGTACCTGAACACCTCCAGCACAGACCGGATACAACACATCAGACTCTATCTGCGTGATGACCGTGAGTGCAAGGTGTACACATGTAGTTGCTATACAAGTCAAGTCTACAGTGTGTGTCACAGAATTTAATATTGGCATGGATTTAGCATTTTTAATGCGATACAAACTGTTTGTAAATATACTGATGGAAACGAATAAGGGAACAATGAAAAATTGAGAAATAATCTCTATTGCCAGTACAGAAATAGCGCGTACAAATTCACCACATGTCAGAATCAAATGTCAAGTTGTGTTATTGTCCATCGTTTCCAACGCGTATTTGGTAGACAAGGCTGGGAACCCATGATAGCATATCATTTATACTGTGTCTAAAAGTAAGTTTACCATATTCATTTCCATCAGTATATACGAACAATCATATGTATCATTCATTCTTTCCAATTAACAGTCTTGTAAAGAAACAACACCTATTAAATAGTTATATTTGTACCCTATAGCTATCGGTATCAGTTCCCATTTAACTCTGCATTTACATCTTTTACACATTTGACATCCATTCTTGACAGGTCAAGAGAGAAGCAACGGCATGGAGATACTTGTGGGCAGCCAGATGTGTTACAACTGGTCGCCAACTGAACATCCTCCTCCTATAGCTAACGTCTCCTGCCGTCAGCCACTGACAGGCAACAACGTCACTATACGGGTGCCAGGTGGCTTCGATTTACACCTTACTTTGTGTGAGATGCAAATATTCGGTAAGTGTTGGATATTTCAACTGATGATTATTAATATCTATGAGTAACTAGCAACGTACCATCGTTGATGCAGTTAGTTTTAGGCATACATATTTGTGCTTTTTTAAAATTGAGCAATAATATCTGTCCTGAAACAGCAGAGGAATATAGGTATTTAATGGTGAAAGACGTCCAGTAGTTTTAGTCAGTGTTTGTAACCTTTTATCAATTAAGTGTGCAGTGACGGCTGGTTTGGCACAGACTGTGACAAACAGTGTCGTTGTCTGAACAACACGGGAGTCTGTGACAAGATCACAGGACAGTGTCTTGGTGGCTGTGCTCCTGGGAACAGTGGCATGGATTGTCAGACACGTGAGGAATGAGTTTTCAATGTTGATGTTAAAAATGACCAAATTCTATTTGAAGGTTTCCATATTTTAAATGAAGATAATGAACAATTATTTCATCCATCATTTTGAACATGTATTACTATTACTAGGGAGTTAATTCAAATCTATAACATGAGTTCAACTTCACAAATATCTAAAATGCTGTTATTTGATAAATTATGTTGAAAAATAAATTAGTTCAGGATTGTTGTCACAATTTCTTCAAACTGCCACCATCACAATGGAAGATGGCGTGTTCATATCCACGAAATGACATAGTTGAGTCCAATTCACATCATGTTGCGGGAAAAAAGTCTTGAAACATGCATTTTTTAACAATTTTGAATCAGTCAAGAATATAAGATATTAATCTTGAACATGAGTAATAGTTTTCCACTAACCGTGACCTCTTTTCAGAATGGTCTAAGATAGCTGACCTATTTACCCATGTGTGAATATGCGTTTCAAAAGAGCATCATTTCGTGTCGTGGCAGATAAACCTGCTGTTTCGAAATTTGATGTAGTCTAATTATAGACTCAATACAACTTACTTTCCTTTGGTACCGAATGCTTTATTGTTTATCTCCTAAGTAAATACCTGATTTGCATGAACTATATTGTAAAATAGTTGACACTTTAAGCACTAATTTAATCCACCTATATGTACATCGAATACTGAGAGCATAACTTGTATGACATGTCCATTTTTCGACGTGAAGTGTAATGGACAATATGACAAAATGTGCCTGAGATGACCCGATACCTATTTGTTCCTACATCACTTGTGCCTGAAGCTTGCCCTCACTAAGACTTTATACTCATTGACGGCTGTTTATGTTACTGTCTACAGCATGCCCAGACGGACGTTATGGTGCCAATTGTGCGTCTCAGTGTGGTCATTGTCTGGATACTGATGTCTGTGACAAGATGACAGGGAAATGTCCTAGAGGATGTCTGTTAGGATGGTCGCCATATCTCTGTTCACAGTGTAGGTACACTTTTTAAACTGTTTCAACTACATATTGGTGAGTGGTCTTGTCGCGTCTCTTATTTGTAGCATTATAAGTACTAAAGTACGTATGTATATAATCAGCTTGTCAAGACGGCTCCTATGGTATCAACTGCTCCTCCCAATGCGGCAACTGCCTAAATGGAGACATATGTGCCAAGACCACAGGGACATGTCCAAGTGGATGTGCACAAGGGTGGACTACTGATACGTGCTTGATTTGTGAGTATATACAGGTTTGTTGTGTAATAATAATAGTAACAACAACAACAACAACAACAACTATAATAATAATAATAATAATGATAATAATAATAATGCAAACTTGAGAGCTGCTAAGTGGCGCTTAGTGGCGCTGTTCGAAGGGGTCCAAAAAAGAGTGATTTCGTGTTCATTTCCAAGACAGGACATAGTCCAAGTGCATATATACAAAATGTTGCGATGAAAATGTGTATCTATGGGTGGTTGTTTCATCACTAAGTCTTTTGGAAAACAAATATGCATTTTGTAACAATTATTTTGAACCAGCCAAGAATGTATGCAATTAATCTTGAACGATGAGTAATAGTGACCTATATGTGCATATGAAGCTGACCGCATAAAATGGTGGACATTTTGTCCGTGTCAAGAGTAATGGACAATATGCTAAAACAATATGCTCACAAAATAAACATATTTGTACCCGTATCACTCACTCCTTCATTGAAGCTTGCCCTCTCTTAGAGTTTATATTAATTGATGGGTGTCCATGTTACTGTCTACAGCATGCCCCCCTCTCTCCCCCCCCACTCCCCCCCCCACTCCCCTCCCCCCCCCCCCCCCCCCCCCCCCCCCCCCCCCCCCCCAAACGGACGTTATGGTGCCAAGTGTGCGCTCTTATGTTATTTCTGTTGTCCCAATTGCCTCTTTTTTGTGTATGAGTGAGTGAGCGATAATGGTCTCAGACTGCACCTCATATTTGTTACATTATAAGTACTAAAGTACATATTTATATGGACAGCTTGTCAAAACGGTTCCTATGGTATCAACTGCTCCTCCCAGTGCGGAAACTGCCTAAATGGAGATGTATGTGCCAAGACCAAAGGAACATGTCCGAGAGGATGTGCATCAGGGTGGACCAGTGATACGTGCTTGAGTTGTGAGTATATTGCATTCTGCATTAATTTATTTACAGGTTATATTTATTAAGTATAATATAATGTGGTTACTTTTGCATAACAGACAGTGTTTCAACTTTTTTGTTCACATTGTTGTTACTTAAACGAGTTCAGACTACTTGATGAGAGAAAATTATATGATCATTCTGGTAAATAATTTATTTTGCCATTTTCATTGTAAAGATTTTATTAATGTTATCAGTCATTACATCGATGTAAATGAATATTTGATGCCTCAAATAAGACCTTTTGTCTTCATTATCGGTATTGCTTTCGGACAATATGATAAAGAATGTGACCCACATACTCTATTGTGATATCTTATTTGTGTCCTCCGAGACGCTCACGTGCATCCCTTTACAAGTTTCACTAAGTTCCAAAAGATAAGCAAGTGTTATGTTGCAACTCTTAACCTCAATAATATCCAATAATGGTTATTTATTTGCACAACAAAACACACACTTTGATAGAATAACATGTCCAGAACACTGAACATAAAGACTATTCACATCCATGCGTCAGATTAGCCAAAACGTGTCTTTCTGAGCACCTTCCGAGAACAACATTTTTTGGTGTTGAAGGTACTCATAAAAGCGAAACTTTGCAACACACGTCAGTCAGTTCTTTGATTGACATGGAATGCACCATGCTCGGATTAGTCATAAACAATTGTCATCGAGTATTGGGCGTTATTGAAGCTGGGATAACACTTTCTTAGTAAAGTACAGATTATCCTACTTTTTTGGGTTGAGTCCCGTCAGGGCACGCCAGCACACAAAGTCAGCGATCTAACCCACTCAGCCACCGGGGCTTCCACAAAAATGAAAGTCCGACAACTGGTAGTCTAGATCACGTATTTTGAGTACCCCTCTGACAAGTGTAAAAGAGTGTCATGAGATCACAAGAGAATGAAATGGTTGGGACACTAAATTCCTAACACAGAACGTAATGACACTGTACACCGACGATCGCCGGAATTAGACGGTGTCGGAAATAAAGCCGGGGAGCGGCACGAGACCGAGACACCAGAAAAATAACGACCCGGTGACATGAACACTGTTTATATTCCAATAACGACATGTAAAATAGCTTTCTAATGTGGTAAAGAAATATGGATTCTGATTATGGATAAAGAAGTGACACTGCACAATTTCGGTATTTTCTTGATCGCTTCTAAATAATTACTCATCTAACTGATGTGTCACATTCAAACTGTTGTTAGAACTGTTCAGTGCATTCACAAGGGCTATGTGATGAGTGTTGATTTTGAGTATTACATCTTCCACAAACTACTTTTTTATCCAAAGTCTTGCCCACGTCACCATAAATGTAATTACAAAGTCTTTGCAACTACATGCAATACTGGAGTCCACATGGAAGAAAAGAGAAAGTTTTAAATCACGGACATCTTAATTGCTTAACGACGGGGGTAGATAGAAATACACGGACAAATTCCCCGCGTAGCTCTCGGGGCCAGATATGAAACGACGTATGACAAGTACGTGTACCGGATTACAAGGAGACGCGTTCATATCCGTGTGTCAATCCGGAGGATTTGAAACATTTGATGAATATTCATTTCACTGCCACATGCCTCGACGGACATTACCGTGTCATCTGCCCGTCTCACTGGGTCACTGTCTGGGCACTCATGTCTGTGACAAGATGTCATGGAAATGTCCTTGAGGATTTCAGATATTGTTTCTTACAGCTTGCAGTGACGGTCGTCATGGATACCACTGTCAGTCAGAATGTGGCCAATGCAAAGGAAACCTGCCTTGTAACAAGATCAATGGAACATGCGACCAGGGATGTCAGCCAGGGTTTCAAGGACCAACTTGTAAAGGTGGGATCCAATGTGATGGAAGTTATTGTTCTCTCTTTTTGCATGAAACAACTCTCCTTGCCCTGGTCGCTATAGTCTTGCCAGTATATCATAAAAGTAAAGTGATCAGATGAAACATTATATGTCGTCTACTCACCAGGATGCGTTGATGGAATGTACGGAGATGACTGCATGTCACGATGTGGTCAGTGTAAAGACGCTCTGATCTGTGATAAGTCCAGTGGGGAATGTCCTGAAGGATGTCAGGGCTACTTCATGAAGCCCCTGTGCCAAGGTAGGAACACGCAACAAGCCATAGGAAGAAAAGATAAACGTTTTCCTTTTCCTTTTTAATTTTGAAGTCAACTATTTACAAATTTTGCTCAGTCATTCTGATACTTGATAAGTAGATCAATATTTTAAAATAGTTTGTTGATTCTCGTACTACTCTTTGAAAGGAACTTCGCAAGACATATCAAGGCAACTCTAAGGACCCCAGCAAAAGTTCATTACAAGATATATGACATACATCATGTACTTTTCCCTTTCAATAAGAGATTTACAGGAACAGTTAATTTGGGTGATAAAAGACGCATATATCACCAAAAGAACAGTATCCGTGAAGATCTGGGTAAGAATCGGTCTTCAGCAAACCATGCTTGTCGTAAGAGGCGACTAACGGGATCGGGTGGTCAGGCTCGCAGACTTGGTTGACGTATGTCATCGTATCTCAAAGGCGTAGATCGATGCTCATGATGTTAATCGCTGGAGTGTCTGGTCCATACTCGATTATTTACAGTCTGCCGCCATATAGCTGGAATACAACAGACAAACAAACACACAAATAAAGCTGTAAGAACTACACAAAATATTAAAGAATATGAACACCTTATTTGTTTTAATAACAATGTTGTACAGTGTGTCTGGCAACACCAGGATGTTTAAGCCGGGAAGCACCAGTTGTAGCAACATTCGGTACACTTCTCGTCTTGGCTGTCATCGCTCTGTTGACGTCCATCTTTTATATCAGAAGGTAGGGATCGTGAAATGTGTAAAAGATAAATATCATGAACATAAAAAGAGGATTCATAATATTGAGCAACATTAACTGATTCTTTGCTAATTGTGCATTAGAGACTTTTACTGAATTATACTATTTACCATATTGCCGTCGATACGTCGAAGAATATTATTTTACTTGTGCTCTCCTATGAATAACATGACAACCTTGTTTCAAATTTCACCCCGAACTTCTATTGTTTAGATCTACACGATAAAATCATATACAAATATGTAAATTAATGTCAAGATTTTAGGAAGGTATCAGTTGGTACAAACATATACGAATATATATTGTGTAGTTGGCGAAAATTGTATAGATTGATTGAAAAATAATATGATTGATTAAAAGTCACAGAGACTTACCACACCGTCTCCTTACATTGATATTGAATACAATGGTTGCAGTTTTGTTCAAAATATACAGGAGCGGGATTTACATATGATCGGTTGCATTTCAGTGAAAATAATAATGGTTGTGTACAGTCAACCATTGCTACCTTTTTAATAATCGAAAAGTGATATAAATGCAACAAATCATCTTGAAATGTATAGCGTTACTAGCTTATTACTGTATATTTCAGACTGAAGCGTCAACTGTCTGCTTCACAAAAGAAGCCCGAAGATAACTACATATCTCTGGATGAGAAGACCAGGGATCCAGCTACGGAAAGCACATATGAAGACATTGACAATACCAGTCCTTATGCTCAGGCAGGGGAAGTCCACTAGGGCTGGAGTTGACAATACCAGTCCTTATGATCAGGCAGGGGAAGTCCACTAGGGCTGAAGTTGACAATACCCTACCTTATGTTAATGCTTGGGAAGTCCACTAGGGCTGAAGTTGACAATACCATGCCTTATGTTAATGCTTGGGAAGTCCACTAGGGCTGAAGTTGACAATACCAGTCCTTATGTTAATGCAGGGGAAGTCCACTATGGCTGAAGTTGACAATACCAGCCATTACGTTAATGCTGGGGAAGTCCACTAGGGCTGAAGTTGACAATACCAGTCCTTATGATCAGGCAGGGGAAGTCCACTAGGGCTGAAGTTGACAATACCATACCTTATGTTAATGCTTGGGAAGTCCACTAGGGCTGAAGTTGACAATACTATGCCTTATGTTAATGCTTGGGAAGTCCACTATGGCTGAAGTTGACAATACCATACCTTATGTTAATGCAGGGGAAGTCCACTATGGCTGAAGTTGACAATACCAGCCATTACGTTAATGCTGGGGAAGTCCACTAGGGCTGAAGTTGACAATACCATCCCTTATGCTAAGGCATGGGAAGTCCATGAGGGCTGGAGTTGACAATACCAGTCCTTATGTTTAATGCAGGGGAAGTCCACTAGGGCTGGAGTTGACAATACCAGTCCTTATGTTAGTGCTGGGGAAGTCCACTGTGGCTGAAATTGACTATACCAGTCCTTATGCTAAGGCATGGGAAGTCCATTAGGGCTGGAGTTGACAATACCAGTCCTTATGTTTAATGCAGGGGAAGTCCACTAGGGCTGGAGTTGACAATACCAGTCCTTATGCTAATGCAGGGGAAGTCCACTAGGGCTGACGTTGACTATTCCAGCCCTTATGTTAATGCTGGGGAAGTCCACTAGGGCTGGAGTTGACAATACCAGCCCTTATGTTAATGCTGGGGAAGTCCACTAGGGCTGAAGTTGACAATACCATGCCTTATGTTAATGCTTGGGAAGTCCACTAGGGCTGAAGTTGACAATACCAGTCCTTATGTTTAATGCAGGGGAAGTCCACTAGGGCTGGAGTTGACAATACCAGTCCTTATGATCAGGCAGGGGAAGTCCACTAGGGCTGAAGTTGACTATACCAGCCATTACGTTAATGCTGGGGAAGTCCACTAGGGCTGAAGTTGACAATACCATCCCTTATGCTAAGGCATGGGAAGTCCACTAGGGCTGGAGTTGACAATACCAGTCCTTATGTTTAATGCGGGGGAAGTCCACTAGGGCTGGAGTTGACAATACCAGTCCTTATGATCAGGCAGGGGAAGTCCACTAGGGCTGAAGTTGACAATACCATACCTTATGTTAATGCTGGGGAAGTCCACTAGGGCTGAAGT